GATGATGATAAAATACTTCTTGCTTGTTAATTCTGTGTCACTCATTCAATTTGTGTCCTAACTATTTGTTTGTCTCTTAGTATATTTCTAATCTAGGCTATCTTGTTTTTTAGGTCCCTTCTTGTTTTTTTTTCGTCCCTCTCGCATTAGATTTAGGGTCTCCAAAGGACGTCATCCATAAAATTTACTTGGTGTGGCCTTACAATGCCAGACAAATATCACATCATGACATCTCTGCACATTGTGCATTTTACAACACACACTGTGCCAGTTGCCATCATTCATTGGACATTCATGACATTGTGCTCATCTATAGTATACAATTAACATTTTATGCATGCCACAATTTAGAGCTACCACAATCTAGGTTACAGGTATATAGGTTATCCCATTCATACAAAAGTGGTGATCAGAAAGAAGATATAAATCATATGCCCTTAAGAGCAATGATTGCAAGATCCCTTGGGACTTGTATGTGCCATTGTGTTCTGAGGCATGCGTTATTACCACAAAGCATATTTATGCACAGTTACATACAATTTGAGTGCATGCACACATGAAATGGAGCTGAAATAATATGATTATGAGTATGATGATACCCTTAATGAGAAGAGGGTGTTCACCACAGGCAGAAATGCCTCTTATCACCAAGGGATTCTCAAGGTATTAATTTGAAATGTATAAATATCATTAATTACAAAATGAATTAGAAAACGATGTTGAATGTTGGAGAAATATCATCACACGTATGCAGATAGAAAATTATAGAAAATTCTTATTTCTTAAACTGAAAGTAATTGCATATAGACAAATAACCAATTATAATTTATGATTTTGAGAAAGACCTGCGAAACTTAGCAAATCAAGGAGTTTGCAGCGCAAAAAAATGCAGTGTGGCAAAAATAGCATTTTATTCACTTGGTAAGAGTGGTTTGAAGTAGCACGCTAAGAATTACACCAACATCAGCTATCAAAATTCATGATCCTTCCAGTATACATGTATTTATGAAGGGAAACATCATGCGAAGGGCCTAACAAGAAAAGCGAAAATCGACGAACAAAAGACACATGTGCTCTCCACTTACCGGCAACTGCTGCGGGAATTCCAGACCGTGGCAAGCGATGAAAAGCCGGAGAACCTTCCTAAGTCCAGTCAGTAATGAAACTAAAACCCCAGAACTCCCTTAGTTACAGGAATCCCGGGATTTTAAGCATCAAAACGGACCCTTGAAAGGAAAAAGGTGCGAAATTTTGGAGCCCGGTCCCTCCCAGACAGTCCACTGCGCAACTCTGAAACACGGACGCTGATTGGTCAGGATGTAAGAACAAAGTTCAGAGGTCAGAAGTCATTAAGATGGCAATCGGAGAAACATGTGCGAAAATGTTCATGAGTTTCTTTGATTTTAGTGTTTTTTATCCAACATACGTGTGTTTCTTCTGCGTTTGAGAAAGTCTACAAGGCTATAAGGTAGGTGCCTCACTGTACTGGAATCACATTTGGAATTTCATAAAAGAAAGGAGTGCGTTTGTCACGGTTTCGCACACGTAACCCGTTAAACAGTTTTCTCCAAGCAGATCCTACGGTGGCATTAAATTTTGGCCAGATCTCTGACCATGATTTTGGCCACCCTGTAACCAATATATCAGACTGAGCACTTTGAGGTCACTTTAATTTGGTTAGACTACTTATGTGCAGAACTAACTAAGCAGTACTGATTGATTTACACATGGTAAGCATCTATGTGGGGACGTTTGGCGTTAGTGTGTTCAGCTCAGTACCAAGAGGTCCCGGGTTCGAATCCTACCATGTCACCAATCTTGTGCCCTTTACACGACTTTCCTCACATCACTCAGGTGGAAATGAGTACCTAGCTTTGGTTTGGGACGTACCTAGGATAGTCCTGTGTTTGGTGAGAGCTCGGTTGGGTTAAGGCAGCCTATGGCATACTATGAGTAGTATTTCATACATATGCCTGTAACTTTTGATAGCTTGGTCGCACCACAACTAAACTTCACACAGTTCTAGTAGTACTTGAAACACATTGAATAAAGGTTATTTTGTTTTTACTACTTCTGGATTTTTGGGTTAAAAATCAACATTTTGGTTAAAAAAAAAAGCTGTTTACTTCATGGCTTCACGTGCAAGCGGTAGCAACACCTTTCATCATGATATTTTACAAGTAGAAAGCCAAACCCCTATTTATTATTTTTGTCCGAGGCTATTTTGTTTTAAATGACAGTTTCATTGTTTTTTGGGCCAAAAACGACAGAAACAGCTATTTTTCTGTCATTTTTCGTTAAAAAATCGCCGCAGTTAAAAAATATCGACTTATATGCAAAATAGCCTCGGACAATTTTGATTAAAAAAGTGATAATACGTAAACATGGATTACTCTAAAGATCAATTATGCTGTTTTCAGCTGCGCGTAAAGCCGTTTAAGTCATACTCCGTGAATAAAATGCGTAACAAGGCGGGTTTACAGGGGAAACATACAAATGACCGCCGGTAACCCCGAATTCGAACACGCGTTCTATTCGAATGACGTCATATCGAACATGGTGGAACATGATTCGGGTTCGAAACATGTTTGTGGCCATCGTGCAGACACACGCCCGAACTCAAACATGAATATCAGCCTAGGCCGCCTTAACCCAACCGAGAGCCACACCCCACTTAAAGAACCCACCATGCTTCTCGAAAAGAGTAGGGGACCTTCCCGGTGTGAGTGGTTCAAACCTTAAAAGTCCGGACTTACGCAGCTTGCACTGTTTTTACATGTACAAAACTGTTGTGTTACGCCTAAAGGCGGTTTACCGGTTATGCAAAACAAACAAACAAACATCTCTCTGGTCATCAGGGAAACCAGCGGAAACATGCCTCCCAGGAGAAAACGATCTCGAGGTAAACAAAGTGGACCAGAAAACCTGAAGAAGGCCCGTTGGGATATCCAGAAGCTGACCCAGGGAGAGGAGGTACCGACTCTTCCTGCACCCCAGCAGGACAGAAGGGTCCAGGGACTGCCCAACCGCAAGGAGCAACGAAAAGCTGCCAGGAAAAACAAGAAGGCCAGGAAGGATGCTTTCTACAGGCACCAGAAGGTTCAAAATCTTCTTACACAATTTCACAATTTACAATTGATATACTGCTTTACTGTAGTTTACACCAAAAAGCAGTTACTCAAGCAACTGGATATGATTTTGGAAACGGTCAGACGTTTCAGGTAGAATCCGCTACCTTTCGTCAGTGACACTAGAGAGTTGTGAGAAAAGCAGGTTTATAATTGTATGGACAAACTATTGATTGATATGAAAATTAGTGAAGACAAATTTTTTTTATTGTTTCCAAAATCATACCCAGTTGCTTGAGTAACTGTTTTTTTTGGCGTATCTTATTATATTACCTTGATGCTGAACCTTCACCGACAATATATCTCTTTCCTTGTTTGCGAAACCATGTAACTGCTAGCTGAAGGACAACAAGCTTTATAGTTGTACCTTGATATATATGTAGAACTGTATAGTTTTAGATGGTCTCAGAGTCAGAATTGAATTTTTTTATGAATTGATTTTGTAGGTCCCAGAGACTACTGCCTCAAAACAAACTGACCCTAGAGGAGGGGAAAGAACCAAGGGCACAGGAGGACAGCAGAAGAGAGTTCACTTCCAACTTCAAGACATGGCTCACAAAACCGAAAGTAAAAGTGATGTAACAATAGAGAAGGAGACTGTTGAGGAAGATCACAGGAACAAGAGTATTAAAGCCTTGATGGAGAAAATGGACAAGAAAACGGTAACCTTTGCAAATTATCTTATCTGTACTTCTTGAATGACAATCAATGTTCAGCCCTCTGTAGTGCACCCAAAATTGGAGCTGTGCACCCAATTTTTTTCTTTGGGTACACTGGTCTAGGTATTTTTTGTACAGGATATTCTTGGCATCTAAGTGTCAGAAAAATAATAAAACCTTTGTTGTAGTACATGTACTTGTTTAAGATTTTGAAGTTAGCTCCCATTTTATATTCAAGCTCAAAAGAGGAGCAGTAAGATCTGTAATCAAGTTTTGTTTTATATGGTGCACCAAAAAATTGTCTGTGCACCTAATTTTTTAGGCCCGTGCATCAGTGCACCTATTCCCAAAAACAAATTTCAAGCCCTGCATAGATAGTTACACAAATAAGCATGTCAGAAATACTAATTACTGGGTATATACTTGTTAGGGTATATCAGTTATGTGTCTGTTAAAGAGGATAGACGTTAGACATAGTTGTGTTTCTCCTCGAGTGTTCTTGTAATGACAGAAGTGTCCTTGCCTCTACCACCAGAAAAGAAAAGCAGGAAGGACACAGAGTAAGTCCAAAGAACAGCTGATCCAGGAAAATGAAGAGGAAGACAGGATCATCAAGAGACTGGAGAAGAATCTTGGCTATAACAAGAGGAAGACAAAGTCCATCCCAATGGCACTGAAGAGAGATGGTTTTGACTGTATCCTTTTCTTGGTTCACTGCACTGCATCTGCCTACAGTTGATGATTACCAGTATTTTCTTCATCCATGATAATGAAGAACATTTGTGCTACAACTACGCCAGGTACCAAGTCTATCCATATATATATATATAACATGTAGATTTTTATAGAAATAGAAAAATTATTATAAGATGCTTGACTCTTATGACAGACTTGCTGGAGCTGTGTGATGAAGATACCAGAAAGGCAGCCATCTTTCAAGACTCAGATGGAGAGGAAGACCAGCCAGATAGCAAGGTAGGACTCATCAATGGGCAATCTCATTATTTATATCATACCCGGGCCGCGATAATGTTCGATAACGGGTTCCGGACCGGTCCGTACTTTACGTTACGGCCCGGGCTTCCCTGGCTTCCATAGAACGATTCGAACGCGTTTTGCCCTAACTGCGTGGACCGCTTTCAAAACTCGTGTATTCCGCATCGTGTTTGCCGCAGGTGCGCGTGTTTGCCGCACGCACCTGCGGCCGTCGGGCGATCCGACCCGCGGTCGGGCCGATACCTCAGGCGATACGGAATACCCCGTGTTGTATTCTATATGTATATACTACAATGCATCATGCAGTGGTTCAGCAAACATATTTTCATACTCTAGAAAAGAAACTTTCTTTCCAATTATTTTGATGAATTGAGCATTGACGCTTTGTCAATCTGAATAGCTGTGATACCACCAGTGTTTGCTTTAGACATGAGTGTGTATTAGAGCTGTGTTTTCATCTCCTACCATACAACATATACCTGACCCAAGTGACATCTAGATGGAGTGTAACTAATATGCAACAGATCTTTCAGAGTACACTGTAGGTAACTCTGTCAGTCTGTAACACAAACACATTGTCTTTACTTTGGGACCCATGGGGGACCAGCTTTTCTTGCCTTTTAGGTCACAAATAAGCATATAATTAGTGTGAATTTTTTTAGGTACAGTACCAGTACTTAGGGATTACTTATTTTGGACCTGTACCTAATTAATTTTTCCGGTACCTAATGTATATAATCGGTACTGTGTACTGGTACACAGCTCTAGTGTGTGTGGTACTAACTTGTGTCTTTTTTTCATCTATCAGGAAACAAAGAGAAAAGCATTAAAGAACACAACTGAGAGTGATGCTGGTGATGACAGTGATGATGATGATGATGAGGAAGAGGAAGATGAGCAGGATGACAGTGATGTAGAAAATGATAGCTCTGAAGATAATATAGAGGAAGATGAAGACATGGGAGACATTGATGACTTACATAAAGCTTTAGATCAGCTAGAAGAAGGTGAAGAAGACTCAGATGATGATGATTTTGATGAGGATGATAGTGATGAAAGCATGGAAGATGATGAATATGATGATGATGATGATGATTACAGTGGCATGATTGAAAAAAGTCACGACTCTGACCTTGAAAATAACCTTGGAGAAGACTCAGAATCGAGTGACGAAGAGAGCATTCTGACCAAACCTGACATTGTAAAGAAACCAAATAAGGCAAAATCTAAGAATTCAGACACCCAAGCTGCTACAAAGGTAAGCAAAAAGGAACAGAAAAGAAATGAAAAAGGTGGTAAAAATCTACAGGAACAAAGTGATGCTAGAACCAGTAAAGAGAAGAAAACACTTGAATCAAACAAAGATGATGCGGGTAAAGACAATCCCTCAGAGAGAACCCAGGAGAAGTTAGACATCTATGGCGGGGCCGTGGCGAGGTACATCCCTCCACATGAGCGCCTGCAGCCACCTGGAGATGATGAGAGAAGGAAGGTGACTTTAGACCGGCTCAGGAAACAGGTGAAAGGGCTGATCAACAGGTGAGCTTGTCTATCTTGTAAAGCTATGAAATAAAGACTAAGCTTTCTTTCCAAATAAAGACTAAGCTTTCTTTCCAACCCTGAAATGAATTAGGGACTTAACCCACATTTTTGGCGGACTCCTTCAACCTTGTTCACGGAATGAACCCGTTTACTCTTGAAATGTGACGTCAGAGACACGTGACCGTAGTAGCGGATCATACGTGCCAGATAACTTGTGTCAACTCCCGTCTCTGTTCAGGGTAGTTCTGTGAGCTCTAATGTAAAAATTTGGGGTAAGTCCCTAATTCATTCCAGTGTTGGAAAGAAATATTAATAGTCTTCATAATTTCTTGTACCAACACACTTAGATGAACTTTCATGCTAAGATCTTGTATCTGTATCTGAATAGCCGGTATAACCACCTTTCGGCGTAACACACCAGCTTCGCAGGCAAGCGGCGCGGTAAAGCTGTAGTTCTCATCTAAAACTTATACTTCAACCCATTTTCAGTAACCTTACTTTGATTTGAAGATTTATCTTGCATTAGGTGGATTACCAAGTTTGTTTGGTATCAATCCTAACTGTAAAACATTTCATCTCGTTTTTTGAATGCAGGTTAAGTGAAGGCAACATGCACAGCATTGGGAAACAGTTCGAGAGTTTGTATGCCAGCAACAGTAGGAATGGTGAGATGGGAGAAATATGTTTCTTTTTGTCAGTCTATCATGTTATATTGTTAGGATATCTATGATAAGTTGTGCTCCAACAAGGTACAAAATGTGAATCTTTGCAGGTAAATTTTAACAAATGTCAACGAAATTTTCCTCACATATTTCATAATTGTGAACATAATTTCTACATTGATGAAGGTTAGACATCCAGGTAATAAGATACGCCAAAAAGCAGTTACTCAAGCAACTGGATATGATTTTGGAATTTTGGATTTTTCCCCACAGACATGAATGACATGGTGACGTCAGTGCTGACAGAGGCGTGTCTCTCCCCTGACCCTCTGCCTGAGCGACTGATGATGGAACACTGCATGTTGGTGGCCCTCCTGCACAACAACATCGGGACGGAACTCGGCGCTCACCTTGTGGAGTTCCTGGCACGGCGCTTCGACCGTCTACACAGAACCAACGACAACCGTGGGGAGGGCAAGGAGTGTGATAATGTGGTCGCCATGTTTGCCCACCTCTACAACTTCAAGGTCAATTTTACTGATTACTTAGCTTTTCTACTGGGATAATCATACAATGTACTTTAGGCCACACCAATTTAATTTCTTGGTTAACGGATTTTTCTAGAAAAATAATGGAGCGGGCGGGCAAAAAAAAAATAAAAATAAAAACAGGCCTAGGCATCCTATCATGGCCCAAATGGTAATACTATGATATGAGCCATGAAGTCAACACACCAGACTGGTTCAAAATTTAAACAATGAATGTTGAACTTTTAATGACACCATTGCATTGAAAGATGGAATAACTGTAACAACTAGGAAGAAAAGGACTGTTTTCAACTGTTCAGGGCAGAATATGAGCATTTTGCAGTTGATTCTGAATTTTTTTTTTTAATTTGCAAATCAGAAAAAAATGAAGCAGGTGAACCGTTAACCAAGAAATTAAATTGGTGTGGCCTTAACAATGTTGTGCCGTTGAGAAAGGCACTGAACACGACTTTTCTCACTTCACCCGGGTGGAAATGAGTACCTAGCTTCGGTTAGTGACGTCTCTCGGATAGTACGTAAAATGGAGGTCCCGTGTTTGGGTAGAGCCACACCCCACGCACGTAAAAAAAAAAAAAGAACCCCCCACACCTTTCCAAAAAGAGTAGGGGCATGCCCACGGAGTTGGACTAGTGTCACCATATTAAATTGTTATGAATTTGTTTGAGTAAGGATAAACAGAGCAGTAGTTTGTCAGGCTACACTATATGTATGTGAAAGTAAGCAATTAATAATGCATTTGTTTTGCAAATGCTACCTTTCTAGTGTAATTGTACCTAGTCTAATAGTAGTTGTTGGCTACGTAATCATAATCACCCTTTTTAATCGCCCATCACACAGGAAAAATAAAACTGGTTTATTTGTCAATAATGTTCTCTCTCTTTTTTTCCTTACAGCTCATCCACTGCGTTCTCATTTATGACATCATCAGGCGCTTGATTGAGAGTTTTAATGAACGTGATATAGAACTCATATTGGGAGTACTCAGGAGTAAGTATTACTAGTCTAAGAAGTACAGGTGTATTCTTGAGTTGCAATGTCTGAAATTATTTCATGTTTTAGAACTGCCCTCTGTTGGCTGCAGAGGGTACTGCAGTATACCATTACTATTTATGTTGCATTGTAACCCCATGGGTCCCAAAGATCGATTTTATTTGACTATAGGGGAGAGAAATCAAAGGAACCAAATAGAATATTTCAAAGTGTTCTGTGTCTATTGAATAAAATTATGCACATTTCTTTGCCCATAGTTATTAATACTAGACGGCTGACTAAGCTATGGGAGAGAGTGAGTGAGTGAGTGAAGTTGATAAAAATATAACGACCACGTAGGGACTTTTTTTTTATTTGCACGCTCGCATCAGTTGTGGCGTTCCAAGAGAATGTCATCCATTATAATAAAATCAACATGGCCTTATGGCATACATTAAAGTCACCCATACACCCCCCTCTATCTGTCTCAGATGTTGGTTTCCTGATCAGAAAGGACGACCCTGCTGCTCTAAAGGATGTGATCCAGGTCATCAGTACCAAGGCTGCAGCAGCCAGTCAGGACTTCAGGGAACAGTCAGTCACTTTACTGTCCTTCCTGTACTAACCTCAGCCAAGGCCTAGGAAATAAAATGTTGTGTTTCTTGTTTCAGTCCTGAAAAAATTGGTAGGTAGGGATTATCTTTTCTTTCTTTCTTTTTTTTAGACTTTGGCAATCTCTAGTGATCCAACTTATGCAATACAATTTAACAATTTAGTAAAACTTGCATAAGGACACTTTCATTTTCAAAGTGAATATCAGAAAACTGATTGTACAATGTTTCATCACTCAGGTGTCAGGTCATGGAGCTAGAAAAAGTCTATCAGCTTGGAAAATGTATGTTCCTTGCAGGGTTCACAAAAAAAGTCTAGGGTCTGCAGTTTTTTCAAGGGTCGGTCGGGAAACAGGAAACACAACATTTTTTTCGTAGGCCAAAGAAACTTAGTATGTGGCACTACCACTTGTAGAAGTTTAGACTTTCTGAGTTCTCTAACATATTTTCGTTGAAGAGATTCATTTGTCACGTATAGATACAGTTCCTAGTGAATTCTTTCACTCCGTGAACAAGATGGACTGATAGCCATTGAAAATTTGGAGGTTAGTATCCTTATCCTTCCAAAGTTGTCACTGATGAAAGAATTCACTAGGAACTAAATCTAACATATTTATTTTTTACCTTTGCTCGTGTCACAGTAAATTACACATGTTTCAAACATCTTCTTTGCTCTTGGCCTTACAAGAATCTCTCTCACTTGAGTCTTAGAAAGTACTGTCTATAAGTGCATGACATTCTGGCCTAAGTATGCAAAATAATACAAATCTGGTGTTCCAGGTCTCGTGTAAAGTTTATGCTTGAAACGATCGCAGCTCTGAGAAACAACAACATGAAGAAGATGCCAAACTACGACCCTGCTCACCTGGAGCATCTGCAGAAGCTGCTGCGAGGAATGCTCAGAAATAAAGGTATTTATTTATTTACTCATTTTATCTGCGTCTGTGTGGTGTAGTGGATAGAGCGTCCGACTGTCAAGCAAGAAGACCCAGGTTCAATCCCCAGGGTTGGACTCGCACCCAGACATTGTGCCCTTGGGAGAGGCACTTAACACGCATTTCCCCCCTCAGTTAGAGGGTTCCTGGGCCCTACTAGGGTTTGGGTTGGCGTTAGGAAGAGCATCCAGCCGTAAAAATCTTGCTTCAAAAAAAGACTTGTACCTGGTGCAAGCACGTCTAACCCCCGGTTGGGGAAAAATGACGTTAAATTCGGTTAAAAAAAAAAATCTGTGTGGGACCAGTGTGTTCACATTGCATTCAGCAGGTCATGAGTTTGATCCCCTGCTGTCATACCAAAGGAGTTTAGCTAACTGCTTTCTCCCCTGACTGTTCCTTGTCAGTATAACTGACACCCAGCTGTGGATCCCCTTGGAAGACCTCCTGTCTGTGGAGGAGGATGTGAGAAGGGGTTTAGCTCACTGATTTCTCCCCTGACTGTTCCCAGGCAGTATTACTGACACCCAGCTGCGGATCCCCCTGGAGGACCTCCTGTCTGTGGAGGAGGATGTGACAAGGGGTTTAGCTAACTGATTTCTCTCCTTACTGTTCCCAGGCAGTATGACTGACACCCAGCTGTGGATCCCCCTGGAGGACCTCCTGTGTGTGGAGGAGGATGTGACAAGGGCTTTAGCTAACAGATTTCTCCCCTGACTGTTCCCAGGCAGTATTACTGGCACCCAGCTGCAGATCCCCCTGGAGGACCTCCTGTGTGTGGAGGAGGATGTGACAAGGGGTTTAGCTAACTGATTTCTCTCCTTACTGTTCCCAGGCAGTATGACTGACACCCAGCTGTGGATCCCCCTGGAGGACCTCCTGTGTGTGGAGGAGGGTGTGAGAAGGAGTTTAGCTAACTGATTTCTCTCCTGACTGTTCCCAGGCAGTTAGAACTGACACCCAGCTGCAGATCCCCCTGAAGGACCTCCTGTGTGTGGAGGAGGATGTGAGAAGGGGTTTAGCTAACTGATTTCTCCCCTGACTGTTCCCAGGCAGCATTACTGACACCCAGCTGCAGATCCCCTTGGAGGACCTCCTGTGTGTGGAGGAGGATGTGAGAAGGGGTTTAGCTAACTGATTTCTCTCCTTACTGTTCCCAGGCAGTATGACTGACACCCAGCTGCAGATCCCCATGAAGGACCTCCTGTGTGTGGAGGAGGATGTGAGAAGGGGTTTAGCTAACTGATTTCTCTCCTTACTGTTCCCAGGCAGTATGACTGACACCCAGCTGCAGATCCCCTTGGAGGACCTCCTGAGTGTAGAAGAGAAGGGGCGCTGGTGGGTGGTGGGGTCGGCCTGGACAGGGAGGGGTCCAGGGAAGGAAGACAACGACGGGGAAGGTAACATCACTAGTCTATTACTCTTTGATCTGAAGCTTTAGAAACTTACCTGTAACTGCCAATGAACTGTGACTTGCTAGTTCCGGACTTGTAAAAATTTTAAGGTTCAAGTCGAAAAAAAAAATTGTTCCAGACTTACAAAACAATCATGTCACATTCCCCTGTTTGTTCTTAACCACCTAAAATCTTCAATAGTCACAAATTTGCGCTGCAAAATGAAGAAGACATTGCCATTGGGCATCGTCAAGTGTCCGCCTCCATAAATTATATGGCCACAGTTTACATGTAATGCCCAGACGTGCCTCGCAAACAACACATCTTGCTTCTAAACCCTTAAGTAGTGCAGTGCTCGCTAAAAATTTTGCGGTAAATATGCCCCAGTTTCCATTGGGAAATGTTCACTGAGAAGTCCCTTTTCTATATGCCCTGGGTTTAGGTCAGGACTTGTAAACCTAAACCTCTGGACTTGAACCCGGACCTGGACCTGAACATGGGTTTAGGTACACAGCACTAGTCAGTGGTTCCTTAGCATGCCCATAGCCAGGGGGGTTCGGATGAAGGCACAAAGGTCCACTTTTTGGTCCACTTTTTTTCTAATGGTCCTAGATTTTTCTTTAAAAGATGGACTGATTTGTGTCACCAGCAAGGCTGGAATCGTAGGAAAACTGCTCACTTTGTCATTGAAAAAAGTTATCTCTGATTTTTTCTTTGAAATCCTCTAAAAACGCAGGAAATGCCATTTCAGAAGGTTCAATTTTCAAAATTTCCCCCAGACACCCCCTAGGAACCTCCCACTTTCGGCGCTCGCTGGTCCCTCAAGCAGTGGAAAGAACCCTGATTGGCTTGAAGTGGTCACATCATCTATGGAGAAGGGTTTGTAATCTGCTAGTAGTGTCTCATGTGAGCTGTGATCTTGTCTTGTCTCCCGTCAGGCCCTGTCGTGCAGGGAGAGATGAGTGAGAAGATCTCAGAGCTAGCCAGGAGACAGCGGATGAACACAGACCTGAGGAGGAACATCTTTGCTGTGGTCATGACCAGTGAGGTCTGTCTGAGTTAACACATTCAAGTTTCAAGTTTATTTATTTTACCAGTGCATACCTCAGATCAGTTGATCTGATTTTCAGGTATCCCTGGGCACACATTAAAAATAACATTACACAAGTTCAACGCAACAATATACAACAAATGTTACAAACATTTACATATTAAAAAAATACAAAACAATCACAGTATACAATGTAGGCACATTTCATCTGCGGTCATCTACAGTCCGTTTTTAAATGCTGACGTTGCTGTCAGTTGCCGCTGGTCAGCAGCAAGACTGTTCCACTGTGATACAGATATAATCTTTTGTTAAATATGTGATCAGAAATTTTGTATTTGATAATCTTTGTATCTGTAAGCTCACAGGCTTTGAAAAGCGCCAACGTGGCGACATGCTACCCTGTAAATAGATAAAATGAAATGAAATAAGCTCTGTGGCAAGAGACAGGAAAATTGCCTTTTGTACCGTATGCAGAGTTTCCTAGCTATCACAATGAGATGCTTTTTACGGCAAGCACCCAGCATGACTGTCCACAAAATGCATGTGTATGCATCAAATTTGCAAATGACTACTAGTATCATACAGAATAACTGCCCACATAATGATTAGCCTGTGGCTATTGACAGGATCGTCCTGTCAATAGCAGAAAATATTGCACTGCTGACAGGATCGTCCTGTCAATAGCAGAAAATATTGCACTGCTGACAGGATCGTCCTGTCAATAGCAGAAAATACTGCACTGCTGACAGGATCGTCCTGTCAATAGACAGAAAATATTGCACTGCTGACAGGATCGTCCTGTCAATAGTAGAATAATTTGCACTG